CATCTGTGTGTACAAAGGCTCTCCACTCAGTGAATCACATAATTAGAACAGTCCCCAACTTCAAGTCCTCCTTTCCTTCCACTGCTCTGAAGTTATGCAGCAATGTTTCAGGTCTCCTTCCAATGGCTACCTCCACCCTGTGTCTGGGGCTCCTTTCTGATTCAGAGCTGGGTGAGCCGACCAAACCTTAAGTACGTCGAACGTCAATTCTTTGGCGCTCCTTCTGATTGCCTGATCATTGATCACGTTGGGCTGACCCCTTTTTTAAAATGTGAAATTTACAGAGGTGCCATAGTCAGCGGCTGCTGCCAAGCAACAAATGATCTATCCATTTTCTGCCTTGCTGCTGTTGGCCCAGCTGCTAGTAATCAATGAAGTAGCTTCTTTGACACAGCTAATTAATTATAATTGGGTTACGTTGACAGTTTAAACTGCTAGAGAATTCCGAATGCATTTTGGAACGACTCTGGTTTGAGCATCCTTGAAGAGCTGAAATTGATCTCCACGTGGGGTGGGACAGGGGGGGCATCTTCAGAAAGTCTGTTTGTCAACAGTGATTCCCACCCCCCTTTTTTCTTCTTTTCACAGGAGGGCAAGAAGATTGCATTCTGTCCTACGAACCTGTAACAAGGCAGGAAAGTAAGCAAAGACTGACATTCTACTAAACATGTTTGGACCAATCAGATGATCAGTAGATGCCATCTATTCATTCAGAAAAATGAGGTGGTACAGTCCTGAGATGGCAGGGGGGGACCATACCACTTCACAATGTAAAAGTGGGGGGAATGTCGCACAAAAACTCCCTGCCACAAGAAAACTAGCAGAGCAGGATGAAAGCTCTTTTGGTCCACGTTCAGTCCACTGTGGTAGTTTTCTGACTGGCATGGGACACTTACTTGTATATGGGGAGGTGCATTAAAAAAATTTGATACCTCAGCTTAAGTGGTACAGTTCACTGTCACGTTTTAGAATTTTGCTATCTCTTTCTGCTGCCTCTGTGACCCAGATTTAGCCTCTGTGACCCAGTCCACCCATGTACTTCAGACTGCAGACAGGAGATACATATTATGTGGGGCTGCCCTTAGAAGCTGCTGGTGACATGATATCACCAGTGAGAAGAATTGAACCAATTGCCAGTTAGTTACTGGGCAGTGTGCTTGCTTTGGTATATAAAGCCCAATACAGCTTGGGACCAGGGTAAACTAAAAGATCATTTCATTCCTTAGCCTCCTGCAGAACTTATCAAGCTGTCCATTCCACCCGATACAGGAACCAACCCTTCAGAATTCCCTCCCATTGTCTTCTCAGCACCTACTGAAGGCCTTTTAAGTTTAGGTCCTTCCCAATCTGCATCCATATTGGAATTGTTTTTAGGATGTTGCCAGATGTTTTGTTTTTCCACTTCTTTCTTTGCCCACCTGGGCTCCTGCAGGAGGAAGGGTAGCTTATTAAACGAACATTGTCCCAGCTGGCTTGAACCATGTGAATTTTTTGCTTATGTGGTGTGACTCCTTACTCTAAATAGTTTTATTTATGTTCCCAACTCCCACTTTGTTTTACTAACAACCGACCTGTCCAGGTAGCCTTTGGCTTGGAAACAGGGACGCGGGTGGCACTGTAGTCTAAACCACTGAGCTTCTTGGGCTTGCCGATCGGAAGGTCGGCAGTTTGAATCCCAACAATGGGGTGAGCTCCCATTGCTTTGTCCCAGCTCCGGCCAACCTAGCAGTTCAAAAGCATGCCAGTGCAAGTAGATAAATAGGTACCACTGTGGCGGGAAGGTAAACAGTGTTTCCGTGCGCTCTGGTTTCCATCACAGTGTCCCGTTGTGCCAGAAGCAGTTTAATTCTGCTGGCCACATGACCCAGAAAGCTGTCTGTGGACAAACGCCAGCTCCCTCAGCCTGAAGTGAGATGGGTGTCACACCCCGTGGTCAACTTTGACTGGACTTAACTGTCCAGGGGTCCTTCACCTTTACCTTTTTTACCCTTTGGCTTGGACATAGCAAAATCTTTTCTTTTAACTCCACGAGTGTGTTCAGTCCAATTCATTTCTACCAACAGGTAAACATGAGCTGTTGACTTGCCATCGCACTTTGCTTTAAAGTTTCCATCATCAAGATGTTCCTTTTCTTTCTGAATTTCAGTTAATTACACCAGACCAGTTATTATCCTTGGCCCAATGAAAGATCGAATCAATGATGATTTGATATCTGAATTTCCTGACAAATTTGGCTCCTGTGTACCACGTAAGTATTATATTTTCTGAGACCTCTTTTCCCATTTTTCTCTGTTTAATGTTGGGGTAGGGACCTTTTTTCCTTTCAGAAACCTCATTCCCGCATGGGTAACCTTCCAGGGGGCATATGTCATAGGTATGTGGGGACAGAGGCAAAAATGAGTACAGGAGCTGATGCAACTCTTTTTTATATAATAATCATTTTTATTAAGTTGTCAATTTTACATTTCAAAATAAACATTTTACAAACTTTAAAGCATCCAGTGACTTCCCTTCTTCTCCTTCCATGGTTCATTTTACATATCATACATCCCTGCATATTTTACTATAATAAGGTTACCAGATTTTTTTCAATGAATCCGGGGACACTTATTGTTTGCTATGTACATGTGAAAGCTAAGAAAGCTGTAAATCTGGGGACTGTCCCTGGGAAACGGGGACATCTGGTAATCTTATACTATAACCATTCAAGTCAGTTTTCCACCTTAACATCCATCAAAAATTATTTACTCTGTTGAATTTATCTTAATGCAGCCAGCATTTTGGGCTGTATACCATTATTTCCCACGTATTCAATAGATGTTTTCCACTCTTCTTTAAATATATGTTCCTCTTGCTCTCTTATTGTGTATGTTAAATCTGCAAGTTTTGCATATTATGTCCACTTAAGTTGCCAGTCCTCTTTAGTTGGGACCTCGCTCACTTTCCATTTGGGGGCTAACAAAACATGGGCTGCAGTTGTTGCATACCTAAATATCCTGTGGGTTAAACCACAGAGACTAGGGCTTGCTGATCAGAAGGTCGGCAGTTCGAATCCCCGCGACAGGGTGAGCTCCCGTTACTCGGTCCCTGCTCCTGCCAACCTAGCAGTTCAAAAGCACGTCAAAGTGCAAGTAGATAAATAGGTACCACTCTGGCAGGAAGGTAAACAGCATTTCCGTGCGCTGCTCTGGTTCACCAGAAGCGGTTTAGTCATGCTGGCCACATGACCTGGAGGCTGTCTGCGGAGAAACACCGGCTGCCTTGGCCTTTAAAGCAAGATGAGCACCGCAACCCCAGAGTCGTCTGAGACTGGACCTAATGGTCAGGGGTCCCTTTACCTTTAGGAATTGCTGATGTGACTCTTACTCTTTTGGCTACATTCAGGCAAAGATTTCTGTGCCTAGTAGCCATGGATAGCCTTCTCCTCCATGTTTGCTTATCCAACATACTAATTCTGACTTGAAGCTGTGACAGTACGCTTCTTATCTCTCCTGCTGCCTTTCCTCATGATACCTTACTAAAATAGCATCCATTTTTAAATCTGATGCTTATGTGCCTTTCAGAAGCCAGGGCTTACGCAGGGGTCAGCAACCTTTTTCAGCAGGGGGCCAGTCCATTGTCCCTCAGACCTTGTGGGGGGCTGGACTATATTTTGAAGGGGAAAAATGAACGAATTCCTATGCCCCACAAATAACCCAGAGATGCATTTTAAATAAAAGGACACACTCTACTCATGTAAAAACACACTGATTCCCGGACCGTCCACAGGCCGGATTTAGAAGGCGATTGGGCCAGATCCAGCCCCCGGGCCTTAGTTTGCCTACCCATGGCTCAGGGGGAAGGGTCATACCTCGTTACCTTTGTGTGTCAAAAGGCTCCTGGTTCAATCCCCAACATCTCCAAAAGCTCTGAAACCCTGAAAAGCCAATTATACTAAGCTAAATGGACCAGTAACCAGACCTATGTTCCTGTTTCGTAATTTAGGGTCTGCTTTTCATATCCTAATATAACCTGGGGGATGTGAAATAATAATAAGGAAGAGCACCTTTGAGCATGTACTGAGTTCAGCCTCCCATGGTACGGAGTCACCCCCCCCCCCATTCCACTGAATATAATGTTTGTATTTCTGCAAACCTTGTGGGTCCCTGAAACCTGCCAATACCCTTAAACCTTCCACTTGTGTGTATGGGTGGTGCTGTTACAGTATATATTTGTTTTTGTGTGTCAAATAATTTTTATTTGATTTTACAACTATAGAATTACAATAATACAATCATGCACACCCACCTTTAAAGATTCCTCTGAACCCCTTCACTTCCCACCATCCCTTCCATGCTTCCTATTATTAAAACTTTTCTACTGCATCTTTTTCAATAGTCCAATATAACTCCGTTATCTCCATAGTACTTACTACCTTACAAGTGTTATTGCAATCCTGCTAATGTTTTCATCTCCTTACAATGGTCTCCAAGATAAAGTATTTTTAAAAAATACCATTCTTTGTTAAAGTTTTGGTCTTCTTGGTTCCTGAGCTTCCCAGTCAGTTTTGCCATTTCGGCATAGTCCAACAGTTTAATTTGCCATTCTTCTCTGGTAGGGACTTTATCTTCTTTCCACCTCTGGGCTAATAGCATCCGTGTGGCTGTCGTCGTGTACATAAAAAGTCTTTTCTGCTCCTTTGGAATATCGGCACCTACAATTCCTAATTAAAAAAAGCCTTTGGTTTTGTTTATAAAAGTTAATTTAAACATTTTTTTATCTCATTATATAGCATTTCCTATAATGCTTTGGTTACCTTACAAGACCACCACATATGATGAAAGGTGCCTTCTTCTTTTACACTTCCAACAGATATTTGAACTCGTCTTATAGATTTTGCTAATTAACTAGGAGTCAGAGCTGTTACAGCATAGAGATATGTAGATAGAATCATAGAATTGTAGCGTTGGAAGGGACCCCAAGGGTCATCTAGTCCAACCCCCTGCAATGCAGGACTCTTTTGCCCAAGGTGAGATTTGAACCCACAACCCTGAGATTAAGAATCTCATGCTCTACCAACTGAGCTAACCCAGATGGGCATATATATATAGATAAATGAGATACTGTTGTTGTTGCTGCATGAAACTGGTGATGAAATGGGTGTGTGTTCCTTGATATCTGAAGAGGAGAATCAAGATGTAGACATATCTTTGGGTTGGTGAATTTCATTTTTGTCTTGGTGCACTTACAGAAAGCTTTATCCTGCTTTGTTTTCCATCTTTTCTCTCTACCCCGCCCCTAGATACAACTCGGCCAAAGCGCGATTATGAAGTGGATGGTAGAGATTATCATTTTGTCATCTCCAGAGAACAAATGGAAAAGGACATCCAAGAGCACAAATTCATAGAGGCCGGACAGTATAACGATAATCTTTATGGGACTAGCGTGCAATCTGTCAGATTTGTGGCAGAAAGGGTAAGTTTGTCCCCGTAGCAAAGGTTGCGGCAGATATTACCATAGGCAAGGGAACGTTGGAGTGGGAAAATGAGGTCGCCAAAATGCCACAACACCATCAGACAGGCCTCCCAGAGTTAGCTCCACTGCAACGAAGAAGACCCTGTCTGGTGAACCACCTCTGGTAGTCACCAATTGTAAAGGAAATGTATTTATTTGACCCTATCTACATCAAGCCATATTCTATCTTTATTACCAAACTCTGAATATAATTGCACATTGTATTAATTAACATTATTTTTTAATAATATTAGTGGCCATGTGATGACTTTAGCCTACAAATTTTATTGTTTAATGTCTTAACCTGTATATTAAGGTACAGTGGTGCCTCGCAAGACGAATACCTCGCAAGACGAAAAATGCGCAATACGAAAGAGTTTTCCCTTTTTTTAGTCATTCCGCAAGACGAATTTCCCTATGGGCTTGCGTCGCAAGACGAAGCGTCTTGCAAGTTCTTGCAAGTTTGTTTCCTTTTTCTTAAAGCCGCTAAGCCACTAAGCCGTTAATAGGCGCTAAGCCGCTAAGCCGCTAATAGCCGCTAAGCCGCTAATAGCCGTGCTTCGCAAGACGAAAAAACCGCAAGACGAAGAGACTCGCGGAACGGATTAATTTCGTCTTGCGAGGCACCACTGTACTTTTATAGCTCTGTTTAGAGTAGGTAATGTCTTGATAATATAAATGTTTTAAGTTTTTTGTATTAATCCAGCATATTTTTGCACGATTCTGTGTACATTACGGCAGCCTTTGGCTATGTGCAATAAAACTGAGGCTGAGACCTATGTGAGAGGGCAAGGCGCTCTCTTTTGGGCTGAAATGCAGCTAAACATTGGAAGAGTTAAACACCTCTTCACCTACTCCCAACAGGGCAAACACTGTATACTTGATGTATCAGGAAATGCCATCAAGCGACTACAAGCTGCACAGCTGTACCCCATTGCGATCTTCATTAAGCCTAAATCCTGGGAGCCGTTGATGTGAGTACTTGTCTCCTTGAGACTGCTTTTAAACCATTAAGAGTAGGAGTATTCCATGCCACCCAGAATTCAGCTCCCTGCCATTTCCAGGATTTGGAACATTGCATAACATGGGGTGCATGCTTTCCTGGTGTGCAGCTGCCTGTGGGCATTGCTGGTTATGTCCAAATCCAGGAAGGGTGAGTTGCACTTCTTCCATTGGCCTATGTCATTCAAGACAGAAGTACAGTGCTACCTCGGTTTAAGAACTTAATTTGTTCTGGAGGTTTGTTCTTAACCTGAAACTGGTCTTAACCTGAGGTACTACTAGAGCCAGTGTGGTGTAGTGGTTAAGAGCGGTAGTCTCGTAATCTAGGGAACCGGGTTCTCGACTCTGCTCCTCCACATGCAGCTGCTGGGTGACCTTGGGCCAGTCACACTTCTTTGAAGTCTCCCAGCCCCACTCACCTCACAGAGTGTTTGTTGTGAGGGAGGAAGGGAAAGGAGAATGTTAGCCGCTTTGAGACTCCTGAAGGGGAGTGAAAGGCGGGATATCAAATCCAAACTCTTCTTCTTCTTCTTCTACTTTAGCTAATGAGGCTTCCCACTGCCGCTGCTAAACCACCGCCACACAATTTCTGTTCTCATCCTGAAGCAAAGTTTTTAACCCGAGATACTATTTTTGGGTTAGCAGAGTCTGTAACCTGAAACGCCTGTAACCTGAGGTACCACTGTACTGTTTCTGGAGGACAGGAGACAGGCAGGTGTGGGGGACTCCTTGATCCTGAATGGAGTAACTGTGCCCCTAAAGCACCAGGTGCACAGCCTAGAAGTCATTCTGGACTAACAGCTGTCCATGGAGGCACAGATCCATTCTGTGTCCAGGGTGGCTGTCTGCCAGCTCCATCTGATACATCGGCTGAGGCCCTACCTGCCTACACTGTCGCTCCAGAGTAGTACATGCTCTGGTTATCTCCAGCTTGGACTACTGCAACTCGCTCTACATGAGGCTACTTTTGAAGGTGACTTGGAAACTACAGCTAATCCAGAAAGCGTCTGCCAGACTGGTGACTGGGAGTGGCTGCCGGGACCATATAACACCAGTCCTAAAGGATCTACACTGGCTCCCAGCACATTTCCAGGCACAATTCAAAGTGTTGGTGCTGACCTTTAAAGCTCTAAACGGCCTCAGCCCAGTATACTTGAAGGAGCGTTTCCACCCCCATCATTCAGCTCTGAGGGCCTTCTGGCAGTTCCCTCACTGCGAGAAGCAAAATTACAGGGAACCAGGCAGAGGGCCTTCCCAGTAGTGGTGCCCGCCCTGTGGAACGCCCTCCCATCAGATGTCAAGGAAATAAACAACTATCTGACTTTTAGAAGACATCTGAAGGCAGCCCTGGATATGGGAGCTTTTAGCTTTTGATGTTTTATGGTGTCTTTCTGTTATCCTGGAAGCCACCAAGAGTGGCTGGGGTAGCCCAGTCAGGTGGGCAGCATAGAAATAATAAAATTGTTGTTGCTGCTGCTGCTATTTGCATCTCCCCACAAGAGATACACAAGTCACTGTCTCCACTGTTTATCAGAGCCTAACTTAGATGATACATGCATTACAGAGCTGCTTTCAGACATCACCATCGTCAGGCATGGGCCAAGGCCCACACTCCAGCGTGGGGCCCACTGCAAATCCTGCTGTCCCATTTTACCATAACACTCCTTTTGGGGATTTACAGCAACCCCAGAGTCGTCCGCAACTGGACCTAATGGTCAGGGGTACCTTTACCTTTACAGCTCATCCACCTTTGGCTTCACTGACTGAGCCCCAGCTGAGCCAGGATGAGCAAGTTAAACGGGCATATCTTTAGCTGATCTAATAATAATAATAATAATTTATTATTTATACCCCGCCCATCTGGCTGGGCTTCCCCAGCCACTCTGGCCGCTTCCAAAAAAATATTAAAATACTGTAATACATCAAATATTAAAAGCTTCCCTAAACTGGGCTGCCTTCAGATGTCTTCTAAAAGTCTGGTAGTTGTTGTTCTCTTCGACATCTGGTGGGAGGGCGTTCCACAAGGTGGGTGCCACTACCGAGAAGGCCCTCTGCCTGGTTCCCTGTAACTGGGCTTCTCACAGCGAGGGAACCGCCAGAAGGCCCTCGGTGCTGGACCTCAATGTCCAGGCTGAACAATGGGAGTGGAGACGCTCCTTCAGCTATACTGGACCAAGGCCGTTTAGGGCTTTAAAGGTCAGCACCAACACTTTGAATTGTGCTCGGAAACGTACTGGGAGCCAATGTAGGTCTGGGGTTGGGTTCTTAATGCTAGCTGAGCCCAGCTGAGCCAGAAATCAGTCAGCCAAACCAGAGATCCCCTGCACCCTAAGCTGTTCATCCTGGTGGATCTCGCCCTTAGCTGCTGAAACAGGAGCACATAAAATACTATTTTTTGAGTAGCTTTCTCCTTCCTTAGCGCAGACACATTTGGTGCATGCCCAATTCAGTCAGCAGGCAGATTCTTCTTCCCAAGAGCTAGGTCAACTGTAACAAATGTGTGTTGTCATGTACTTCTTAGCCAATTCCTTATGCATCGTCATGCACGTAATTTTCAGCATGCTTCGCACGTGGCTTACGCTGTGCAGTTCGTTTTGGCATGCGTCTCTGGTTTCAGCTGGAGTTTCGGATTATGGTTCCATGTCTCTCTGCTTTGCTTATCCACATGCCGCAGCCGATTTCCTAAAATTAACCAGCGCTTGGAAGGGAATCTGTATCCTCCAACCTGGAAGCCCTGCATGCCAGTCGCAGATGTGTGGAAGCAGAGTGTGACGGTCATTCACAGTAGTGAAGGGAAAGCAGTTTGCACAGGCTGGGAGCTATTGTTGTCCATGTTCCAATTGGAAATGAGTTTGGGAAATGAACTCTCCGACAAATTGAGCCCTGGCTGTGTTGCCATGGAAAATATCGTCTGTCCTCATTTTGACTAAGCAGCATAATGAGAGAGACCTGCATCTGAGGTGTATCATTACTGCAGCGATAGCCAACATGGTGCCCTCCATATGCCATTGAAACTCAGCTCCCATTTTGGCTGCAGTTAACGGAGTCCAACAACATCTGGAAGTTGGAGTGCAACAACATCTGGCAGGCAGCATGTTGCCTAACCTTGCACTAAGCTCTTTTAATATGAACATATTTTAGTGCTCCTACGACATCAATAGTTTATAGGAGAGTTCTGTTTTTCAGACGCCACTCTTTTTGCCTTAGTTCCAGAGCCTCTAACAACATGGCCTGTATGAAGGCTTGAGGATTTACTCTACCCCCGCCCCAGATAAAAAAGGGGCACTTTAGTTATTTATTTTTAAGATAACTTGTTGGGGCTTATTTTGGCTGCAGCAAACGACTAATGAAATGGTGACGGATCTTCCTTACCTCCAATGTGTCTCTAGGGAAATGAATAAACGTTTCACAGAAGAGCAAGCCAAGAAGACGTACGACCGAGCAATGAAATTAGAACAAGAATTTGGAGAATATTTTACAGGTATGCATTGCTTGGGAAGGTTTCCTGTGGCTAGAGAACCCATCCCCCCCCCAGCTCAAGGAAGGGCCACATTCCCTTATGGACATCATAGTAAATATTTTT